ATCATCAATTTCTATAATTGGATTTCACTATTTTAAGTTTCAGGTACTATCTTAAAGCAGTAGATGAGTGTACAATTATTCTCCTTGCTTCTAATCTTTCCACTCCCAAATTCCGCTCCCCAAATTAACCCTCTTTGCAAGTGGAAGACTAACCGTGCCAGGGCTCCAAAATCTTTTAGCTTCTTTCTGCCACTGGAGTTTTGATATCTTTCTGTTTTGTCAAAAAGCAGAGATATTTCACTTCTCTTTGGGTAGCGGCAGGGGATGGGGCTGGCAAGGGGCAGGGAGGGAGGCTGAAAAGGAGGATTGCAGAGCGGTGAAATTTCCTCCATCCTCCCCACTCCCAAGCTGGCTCTTACTTGAAATCAGTACTTTCTCCTACCATTTCATTCACAGCAGTTGGCAACTTTTATATCCCAGAGAACATTTCTTGGTCATTGGAGGCAACAGGTAACAGAGGATCCGTAATAACTGACTTCCTGGAATTGGTGGAGAGCAGGAAAGAGGGTCACTAGCAGGCAGTTGAGCAATTCAAACCACATCAGCTTTGTTTTTGTGATATAAAAGGTATGCATTGTAAGGCTGTTTAGTACTTTATTTTCTTCTCTCATTTTCAGAAGATTTTTATCTTTTAATTTTTATAGATTTTTGGAATTTAAAAACAGACCCTCTTTTACATATGTATGCTTTTCTGAACGTGTCTCCAGGATGAAGAAGAAAGTGTGTCACCAAATATAACAAGGGATCTAGTATTTTAAAAATTGCTGTACTCAGAGAACTACTTTGTTATTGATTGATTGATTAAAATGGAAATAATGCTTAACTGATAATGTTATACTTAAACCTTACTAAGCTTTAAGTTTGTTTCAAGGACTTTCCTTATCTTACAGCAACATATTCATGATAGCTTTTTATATAAGCACAAAGAAGACACCTTTTGGCACAGATATATGGCCAACAAGACGTAGAGGCAGATTTTCTGCTTAATCAAACCAAAATAATCTTCTAATGCTGTGTTAGGATCTGGCCTGTGGCAGGAATGAGAAAGTGATATCTCTGAATGTCACAATATTGATTACAATTATTACCTTTAAGAAAGGGTCATATCAGATGTCTAGGAGTCTGTGAACTCAGTGGTGTGGACAGTCCTTGATGAGATTAGTGATAAAGATGTCAAGAGAGCAAGAGCGATGAGATTCTGTAGTATGCTTATGGGACCCTGTTCAACAAACGGATTTTGAAGTAGTCTGATAGGAACCCTTGCAGAGGGCTAGCCGTTACTTTTTGGGTAGAATATGGTTTGGAAGAAAGGGCGTGATTATTAATTTCTTTCACGTTCTGGATGTAAAGAGAGGATTGGCATTCGGCCTTGAGGAGAGTTCAGTAAACTTGAAAGACAAATGCTTTTCATACATTTGTAGTGTTGCAGGGAAAGAAACTATTAGGAATGTGGGGAGAGTTAGAGCTTTCTGACATGCAGAAAACTATTACGTTGTGTTTATGATGGAGTTAATCTCAATTTAAACTTTTGAAGTTGTCAGTAAGAATTTAATTAAATATTCTCAAACAAGAGTGGGAAGGGAAAATGGCAATGATTACATTTAAAGAATTAGGAATATTTCTTAAGAGTTCTGTGATACTTTTAGATAACCTCAAATCACACTGGCACTCAGTCTCTAAGGCATGTAGCTAGGACTTTATACCAGCCTTGGCAAATTTCAATCATACGGATTGTACTTTCTGCAGCACAGACCGCCCTCAAAATTGATTAAGAACAGTCAAAATAACGGAAGAACAATTTTAAAATACAATTTTAATGAAGTAGCAAGGCTGACAGTAGACAAGAATTTCTTTCATGCTGCCCTCCTTCCTGTTTAATCCCCTACAAAACGAAGCTCCGCTAACATTGCTGCAGACAGACCCATGCCGGGGCTGCGGTGCGGCTGCAGAGGAGCGGTTTTGGCAGGACGCCGTGGAGGAGCTGCACCGTGTCAGATCGACGGCGTGGGCTGAGACCCGACAGAGGAGGACGCAGCAGAGGGTAGCACTGAAAATGGGTGTAGATCTGCTCTTGGTTCCTGTGTAGGTGCCACCCTGAGGGTCTCGTCTGGTTTTGCTATTTAAGCTAAGTAATTTTGACATGTGTTGTTCAGAGTCTCCGTCTTGTTAAGTACTAACAAACAGATAATCGCAACGGTCTTGCAGATAGTAAAATGATTTTGGTAGTTTCAGTGTGGTATTTTTACTGCCAGTTGGTAGAAGCAGCTTAATAAACTACGTAAGCAATTGGCATGCACTGCAAACTTCAGTTTTACTCTCTGAATCTTAAAAGCATTAGATGTTTCTTCCAATTTAATATCTGCATAATGGATGTAGATGGCAGGATATGCTGCTGCCAGGCAGCTCTCAGCAGCCTCTAACAGGATAGCGTAGACTTCCAGAGCAACGACGTTTTTCCACTCACGTTATCCATCTTGTGCCAGATCTGCTGAGCCTCAGTTTTTTCACAAGGCACTAATAAAAGTTGTGCTTTGGTCTTGTTTTTCCCCAGCTCCGCACACCGTGGTTCGGGCCTGGGGGTGGAACAGGCAGCATGTGAATGTGAAGTGACTCACCTCGCTCCTGCTCCCGTCCTTGCTGGCTCTCACCCTGCCGTAGCACTATGGCAGAGGAGTCCTCCAGCCTGCCTCTCCCTCTCCTCCCTCTCTCAAAAAAAAAAAAATCCTTTCACTAGTATTCTTCCCATTATAAAGAACAAGATGGAAGCAAATGCTTGGGCCGTTGCTGTTGATTTCCTCCAGTTAGGGAATCGGTAAAATACCACCATTATCACTGAATTTCATACAGGCAGCTATGGAAGACAAAACCGGGTACAGTAATTCTTTAGCCTCCTGTGCAGTGTATGTGCAGTTTGGTTTTCGGCAGGTATTCCATAGGCATGTTGCATTATTTCCTCTCCTGCTTTGCTCCGTTCTCCTTTCCTCCCCCTCAGGTTACTCTCTGGAAATGTTTTTTCAGCTTGCTGACATGGGACTTTGGGTTGCATGTGAACATGGTTGATCTTTTCAGCAAGCAATTTTAAATGATTGTTCAGTTATTACGTATAGAAATGAGCCGATAGACACTGGCCATTTAAAACTATGTATAATACCTGAATTAGGAAAATGCCTTCCACACTCCTATTATTTTCTCCTTGTTGTAGAAGGGAACAAACAATCTACAGCTTTTAGGCTTTGATAGCTTTTAGCACTTTTCTGGGTGTGGTGTAAAATAGTTCCTTCACGCTGCCATTCGTTACCAACTCCCTGAATTTTCATTGAGGTTGGACCTGTGTTTCTTTTGTTGTCGGAGCTGAGCGTGCGTCCCCAGCCAGGGCTGTGGGTTTTGTAGAAGCCAGGCAGTCTTCCTTCTGTACACTTCCCAGTCGCTGAATTCAGTCTTTTGCAAAAAGGTCAGTCCTATGAGCTCACACATTTCAACTTTATGAAACAGGGGTGGGTGTTTTGTTGCTTGTGTGTTTTATTTGGCTTTTTAAAGTTCCAGTTCTCAAATCTGCCAGTTTGGGACCCTGCTCCTTTTGTCATCTTCTTCTGGGCTAAAGGTACACACTCAGTGCAGTTTTAACTCATCATAAGCAAGATACTCAGAATCAAAAGTCTACAGTATGTCCATAAGAACTATGCAGAGAACAGATATTTTGTTAGCTCAGAATTTCATAATCCTGCGTGGAAGAAATGTGAGGGAAAAAATTCTTTCAGTTGGTTGTAAATAGCTGGATTTTGTTTGTTTGTTTGTTTTCTCCATCTCTGTATTTTGTACTATGTCTTAATGCTTCTAAACAAAAATCAAAACATTGGATATTATTGTCAGAATGTTTTTTTTCTTTTCCTTTCTGTGTAAGTGGAACTGCTTGTGGCAGCCCATTGTCAACACCTGGCTCTGGTAGAGGTTTCCTGAGCATTTCTGTTTCCACTAGAGGTTTCTCAGTTGAGCCCCTACCACATCTGTTGACTTCATTGTCCTCTTCCAAACCCAGCCTTGTTGTGTAACTGTTTTGAACTATGCGTTTGCTCTTGATCAAGGGAGCTTAAGTATATATCTAAATATTTTTAAAGCTATCCTGATTTGGGGGTGCTTGGAGTGTAGGAAAAAATGTCCGTTTTCTATCATGCCTGCAAAAGGTAAAAAAAGTCTCGTGTTGTTTTCACCTTTGTTCACAGCAAAGTATAATGTGAACATAAACTATGAGCCCTTACTACCCATGTGGCGTCACCTGGTCTGCTCTTAAATCTGTTGAGTTACCGTCTAAAGATGCACAATGGTTACCAGGAGAAGAAACTTCTTTTTAAAATCATTTCAAACTTTTGTGGAAATGATAATGTAATAGAAAGCCTTTAAGCTGGGAGAAAGAAATCTGTGCTGTTTCCTTCACACGTAGGTAGCCCTATCTGATTTTCTTACAGGTGACAATAATATTGAACAGAATGACCACACATCCATGCCCTTCCTGTTCCCCACTTTGCACTCAAACTGACTGTCCCTCCACTCAGTTTTGGTGCCTCGTACAAAATGGCATCCCTATTGCCTTGAAGTCAGCCCTGAGCCTTCAACCTGAAGTCCTTTTTTGTCACTGTTTAGGAATGATGCATGTTTGAAGGAGTCAGAAACTTTGGAATCTGAAAGCTAACATGTCTCAAGTGAATTCAGGTTAATGACATCTTGCAGTGGTTTGTGAATAGGCTGAATTTTGGTGGCTGGGTTTCTACAAGGACAACAAGGTCACCCAGCTGGGCAGCAGTACTACTCTGTGGCCTATTTTGGCACTGTGCCCATTAGATAACACCAATATTTAAAATTCCAAAAAGAGAAATCCCACTAAGCTTCTGAGCAGTTCTTTATTTACATTAAATAAATGTAACTTTAGGTGTTACTATCTTCTCTAATATGTGCAACTAAATAACTGTCAAAATTTCTGGTTTATGTTTTTATTTATCTGGTAGAAAAGAGTGGTGGAACAGCTTCGAAAGAATTTGATAGTGAAGCAGGAACAGCCAGACAGTAAGTTTCAAATACAGCCTTTGGCACAGTCAGAAAACAAACTACAGACACCACAGCCGCAACCACTACAACAGCTACAGCAGCATCACCATCAACAGCAGCAGCAGTCTACTGCACCCTCTCCAAACGTGATTGGATCACAGGTAAAAATGTACAATAATACTTTTCCTTGCTAAAGGTGAAGTTCAGTAAAAAAAAAAATCAAAGGAAAGTACAGAGAGAAAATTGCAAGCTTTCATATATGCCTGTTAGCATACCAATATGAATTTCTCCTGTACGTATGTAGATATGGGTCTTGTAGGGTTTTTTGGCAATAACCTCCTACCTGCATGAAAAAATTATGTAGTGTTTAAAAGTCAAATCGTAACCCCGCAGAAAAGAAGGGTGGCAGTATCACCTTTCTTAAAGATAAATGAAAGTTTAACAAATGAACCTATCTCTTCCATAGGTGCATGAATGATTGTCTGTCCATACCCAGTAGGTCTCAAGAAACAGTAAAGACTTTACGCACACTGTGATTAAAATACTTTATTTTTAAAAGACTAACAGAGTGCCCACTGTATCTGTGAACAAAATGTAAGAAAACAGTTCCCTCTTCTTTCTGCTTGATTCTTTTTAAACAGATGTAACTCATATCAAATAATACTTGCCTGAGTTTGCAAGGATTCATCTAAAAGTGTACATTGTTAATTGCAAAGTTCAAGTTTTAGAAAGTTGTGTCTTTATTGGGAAGGTACACTGAATTTCAGTACAGCATAGGATTAGAGGCGTAATCCCAGAACTCAACAGAGAAAGTGGTCTGCTTCTGCTGAGAGGGGAATTCCAAGTTTCTCTTGTTCAAATATTTAGAATCCCAAAAGCGTGCTAATAAAACAGCTAGAAAGTGCAGGGAGGTGTTTTATAGAAAGAATTGTATGTGAAGGTTTTTTTCATGTTGGTGCAATCTCAGCAGCTCGTGTTTATCTGGATAGGCAGATGGCAGAATTCACACATGAAGTTTACTTCATGCACATCATGGTGAATCACAACCATAGCTTTGACCGATTGCAATTCTTATCTTCCCTTTTCCCAAAAGTAGGGGAGGGAGAAATGGTTGGGCTGTTAGTTCTCTCAGTAACTCGGCAAGTTGTTTTGGATGTGCTCTAAAAATGTATTTGTGAGGCTTAGGTAATTGTATTTTTCAGAAAACAATAGTGAAGAAATGAAACAAACTTAACTAAGGAAACAACATTTCTGAGCAGCAATGTTAATATCAAAGCTAAAACAGAACGAAGAAGTAAATATTACTGTGGCCTAAAATATTTGTGGGCAAACCATGGATCACTCAATCACTGATCTCTGCTTTTCAGTCAAGAAACACGACTGCAAAAGCAGTTTCATGTGTTTTGCCCTATTCCACACTTTGCATTCATGCATTAACTTCCAGGTCATCTCCTGCGTTGTAAAAATTGAGGTTTTGTTCAAAGTTAAAGAGCCCTCTAGTGAAACAGTCAAAAAACTGCTACAGCCCTTCTGACTATCATTGGTACACTTGTACTTGGAAAGTAATTACAAACTGAAAGGCAGGTCGTCCTCTCCTTTGAATACATAAGCCAGCTTTTATCCTTTACACTTTCCTGTTTTTATTTATGTTAGTGTATTCTGAAGTGTCCTCACTTGCTTCTATATACATTTTGCATCTAAGGTTGTGCCTCTGACCTGGTGCCCCTCAATCTCTTTCAGCAAAGAAAAGTAAAATATTTTGTCTCTCTAGAAAGATTTTTTTCTACCTACTTTTGTAAACAATGCATCTTTCAAGGCTGTGTTAGTAAAGAGAATGCTTTTAATGGTTATTTTCAGAGTAATTCGATTTAGGAATCGAGGTATATATGCTGCCTTAATAGTGACATTTTAATATGCTTAATATAGTCCAGTAGGGGTTTTTAAATTTTCATAAAGCACCAAGCCTGCTAAAAGGTCATATTATTGCAATGTTGTTATGTGAAACAATGCAGACTGACTATGAATGCCACTACAGTACGAATTCACGCATTGAAAACTTTTTAGAATAAGCAAGGTAATTAAAGCTCAGTAGAGTAACAGGGATATTCAAGCTCTGTGATCTGCTGACTGAAACTATACTCTTAGTACTTACAGACTTACTAGAACCCCTTGAAAGAGTCACAGTCTTGTATTACATGATTGATTACACTTTTCTTTAAAATGTTTATGGATGAATGTAATACTTGTGAAAATGATACTGTGTTACACCTCATTGGAAAAGCTTGAATAACGTTACTGCATTAGGGGAATGGAGCTGCTTGCGTTGGAGAAGGTGCGACAGAGGTCGATAAGCTTTTGGATCTCAGATAAAAAGGGTATTGTTAATGTTGCAATAAGGAAAAGTTAATTATGTCTGGATTTTGTATAAATGTATAAAACTGAAGCATGAATTATCCTTTGATATGACATTATACAGTGTTTGAATTTTTTTCACACTTGTGCGTAATTAATGGGATATAGTTTAAGCATTATGAAATTAGAGGTGTGAAGGTAAATTGTGCTTTTGTTTAAGGAAATTATATTGGTGAAAATACTGAAGAATCCAGCTGGAAATATTTTATTAGAAAGAAGAGAAAGGTCTTGTGTGATTAAACTCAGCAGTCTAAATCAGGCATGTTCAGAACATGAAAAAGACCACCTGATCCCTGGTTCTCCATTTTTTCCTGTTGTAGAGCCTAGCACTGACATCAGGAAGGAATGGTGATTATTTCATATGAAGAGCATTTGATCATGCCCATAACTGTTTTGAAGATGCAGTGCCATTGGTACAATGGATTTTTTTACACCAAAGAGAAAAGAAATAAGCTCACTTGCCATTCTGTTGAGTGTCACTTGTCATGAGTTTTCCATGCACATTTTGTTCTGGTTTTATATGGAGACTGTCTTGCCTTGTTGCTTTTTGAACGAGATTCGTAATTGTCTGTTTCCCTTAACATCTTAGAACGCAGTACATTTTAAAACAAAACTATTACATTTTCAGTTGTTTTAACTTTGGATTTTGTGGGCGTAGTATATTCGGGCATTTCACATAAATGCTGGCATTAAGTGATTCAAAACCAGTCTCTTTAAGGCCAAGAGCAATCATGGTATCACATACATGTTCCAAAACCAGCCTGTTCCACAGGAACTAAACTTCATTGCCTGCAGCTGGACAGACAGACAGCTCTTACAACTTCAGGATAGCCCTGCTGATATTCTTAGGAAAGAAAGGACTAAATAACTGTATGTGTGGCTAAAACTGAAATTTGGGATACTTAAAATCAAAATACGTTTTCGTTCTTCAAGAAACCAATTTATGAATGTTTTCCTCTTCCTCTGATTCTGAGGATCTCTGTAAATAAAGTTTCCATTTGAAAATTTGAGTTTTAATTGATGAGAAGCTAGTTTGCTGGGATGTTTCATAAACCCTCACCTTATAGGTTTGATATTGACAGTACATGTTTGGAAGTAATATGAAACTAAAAGATCCAAAGATGCATATGTCACTACTAACACTTGATTGTCATTTTCTCGGGAATTTGTATTGAATCAGTCTCTAATGCTGCAGATGATTAAAAGAGACCCAACAGGTGCCTCAGATGAGAATCCTTTCTAGCTATCCAGTTTTCAGAGGCATAAGATGATGTGCTTGTCTGAACAGTAGGTAGACTCAGTGCTGTCTTTCCTTTCTCTTACTGTCTATTGTTTCTAACTAACCAACCCACATCCTGTCTGATACGAAGTGTCTCTGTCTCTTACAGTGTATTTTCTGTTTCCCTTAGAAAACTGTAACTACAGCTTCTATGATCACCACTAAGACACTACCTCTCGTCTTGAAAGCAGCAACTGCGACCATGCCTGCCTCTGTTGTGGGTCAGAGACCTACCATTGCAATGGTTACTGCTATCAACAACAATCAGAAAGCAGTCCTCAGCACTGATGCGCAGAATGCACCAGTCAACCTCCAGACAACAAATAAGGTCACTGGGCCAGGAGCTGAGGCAGTCCAAATAGTGGCAAAAAACACAGTAACTTTGGTAAGCCTTTCATGTGTTTGCCCTGCAGATAATGTGTGGGTTTGGTTTACAAGAGGGCTATTGGAAAAAAAAACTAAACAGGTTTTTGCACAGAGAGGAGAACAAACAGTAGGGAGATGTCGTGGGTCTTCACTAGTTGACATTGTTAAAATGATAGTCTAAGAGAAAACTGTTTACTATCTACATGGGTTGTTATTACTGTTTTGCTTCACAGAATCAAATCAGTGCTATCATCACCTCTGTGTAAAGTTTTCCCTGTTAGTGATTGTTAGTCATGGGGAAGTAACGATTGTTTCGCCCCTAGCTAATCTATGTGGCTGTGTTCTGCAGAATTCCTACTCTTTTCTTTGATAATGGAGATGTCATACTTTCTTCATGTGATCAATTTGGGTTTTCATCTTAGATTTTTTTGAGTCATTCTCTCTCGTTCCCTTTGCGTGATAAAGTCTCTGATGTTAGACACATCACTTAACTCTGCCCACTACCATGTCTTCACTCACCACTTTTTCATACACATATACAGATGCTGTTTCTTTAAGCATATATTTTGAAAAGTCCTTTGATTACATCACACAGTCTTTTCCAGAACAGTTAGCCACCTAGAAATAAAAGAAGCAGTGTTTTAGAATTGGGTTGTATAGGCTTCTTGGTCTGGAAACCAGGCATTGTATAGCATCATGACAGAAAAATTTTACTTCTGCAGTAAAGACTAAGGCTTCATTAAACATAAATCAAATCTATCTTTATTAAAATATACAGTTTAGTAATGCAAATGGAAGTAATTTTGCTTCCTAATGAGGCATACGTTTGCAATCAGAATAGAGAAGACTATTTGAGTGGAGTTTTTTCTACTGTTCTCTTTTCCCATGTCATCCCTTGCACCACTCTCATCTCTCCTTTGCGTCTGTGCTTCATTTCTTTGCTGAATAACTTACTTAGGTTTGGGGAGGTGAGTCTGTTTCAGTAATGGTCCATGATTTCTGTTTCTATAGCAAATTTCATCAAAAACCTCAGAATATTTTCCCAAGCATTAATTAATCAGTACAAGACCTTTTTGAAGTAAATTACTGTATCATGTGGGTGGACAGAAGTACAGAAGGGTGGAAGCTAACATGGACATTAATTTAAGAGAATCTCACCGGGTACTCAACTTAGGGTAGCTCGTAGCACTATTCAGAGGTTAATCATGTGGCAGCTCTGTCCAACTGATCTCAGTTAGACAGGGAAGTACTTAGGATGCCTTAAAATCAGATCTTAATTGTTTCAAATGAATGACCTACTTTTGAAAATTTCAAGTTGTGTATTTAGAGCCCCTTATACTGTCATTAATATTGCTAACAGAGTTGTAACTTCCAGATCTTTTCTGTTTGCATGAGGTGCTCTTTCATTCTTCTGTATGCCATTCAGTGTGAAAGGACAGTGGTTCATGTAGCTGGACATCAAAGTCTGTTGTTATTTTATCTGTTGTAAAGCCAATTTGTAACTATCAAAACAAATAGGAATTTTCGTTATCTTCAAATGAAATGGTTTTAGATTGCAGAGCACAGTAATCAGTACAGTTGAACTAAAAGGAAAGACACCTTCAATTTATGAAGCAAGGTGTGTAGGAACTGGAAAGTAAGGTTAGCTCTGTCTTTACTATGTTTCTAATGAGGAACCTGTTACTGTGAAAAATTATTTAGAGTGGAAAACTGGGGACATCAGGCCTGAAAATACATTCAGGATGTTGATTTTGGTGAACAACTTCAAAGCTATTTTCCTCTTACTGAACTCTCTTACGTTCTTATAGCAGGTTCAGGCTACACCTCAGCCCATAAAAGTGCCGCAGTTCATCCCTCCTCCGAGACTTACTCCTCGTCCAAATTTTCTTCCACAGGTGAGTGTACAGAGAACAAGCAATAAAAGAAGGAACTTAATTATAGCATAGATTGGAAATACTTTCTATGAATATCATTCTTGTCAGTCTTTATTGGTGATCTGGTGGAGGAGACAATTCATCCTCAACAGGTTTGCGGATGATGCCAGATTTCGAGGGTGCAGTCAATACTCGAGGGCAGTGCTGTCATTCAGAGAACCCTAGACAGGATAGAGGAATGGGCCAAGCAGGAACCTCTTGAGCTTCACCATGGAAAAAGGCCAAGTCTTGCATCTTGCACCTGGAATGGACTAACCCCCTGCATAGGTACAGGCTGGGGACTGGCTGGCTGGGGAGCAACACTGCTTAAAAGGTCTTGGTTGACAGTAGCCAAACGAGCGATGTGCCCTGGCAGCAAAGAAGCCTGGCAGCATGTTGGGTGGTACCAACAGGCCCACAACCAGTAGATTAAGGGAAGAGATTATCCACCTTTCTTCAGCAATTGTAAAACTGGATCTGATACACAGCATGCAGTTTTGGACCCCCTGGTTGAAAAATTTGAATTAATCCAGCGGACAAAGGCCACTAAGATAGCTGGGAGGCAGGAATATATGACCTGCAAGGGAAGGCTGAGGGATGTGGGCTTGTTCAGTTTGGAGAAGAGGTTTGGGGACACCCTAACAGCAGCCTTGCCTCCAGTATCAACAAGGAAATTATCAAGAAGATGGAGACATAGGTGCTTGGCAGGAGAATTACAGACAATGATCAGAAATTGGAACAGGGAAGATTTAGACTGTGTATAAGGAAACAGTTATTTCTTTGAGGACAATTAGGAGTGGAAGAGCCGTCCCAGACACATTGTGGAAGCTCCGTCCTTGGAGTTTTCCAAGGACTATCTGGACAAGGCCCTGAGCAACCTGGTCTGCATTTAGTGTTGGCCCTGCTCTGAGCAGGAGAACAAATTAGAGACCTCCTGAGGTGCCTCCCAACCTGCATGAGTCAATGATTATGAAATTCACATATGATGATCATATATGATCCTGTTTGCATCAAATGAAATGAACTCATGGAACAGGTGTCAGCAAAATCAAAGCATCACCCAAGGCCTTAAATTGCTCTAATTGCTGTTTGCCGCTCATGAGCAAAAAAGGAAGAACGAGATGTCTCTACATTTTTCCCAAGTATTTCTGTACTGCAACAGAGAGTGACCTCTGTTTGCAGCTGAGCAGTAAAACTTGTGTTTTCCCCTTTTTTTCATGGTTCAAGAAAGACACAGATTGCTTCTTCATTTGAAAAAACATCTTGGAGGAACTATTTCATTTGTGAGAAATAAGTGGTGCTGTGACTAAAAGTCTGAATCTCTTACAAAAGAAAAAAGGAAAGTACAGTCTGATATCTGATTGAGATTTGGGGATGGTGCGATCTGTTGGAATGTGGCCTAGTTTTCCATGATAAAATGCATTATGGAGTATTAAAGGTGAATAGGACAATAGGAATCAAATAAGGAAAAAGACTTTATTTTCAGGGTAATGTATTCTACTTCTGTACTCTGTAATGATGTGATAAGTACAGACTTAACAATGACCAAGGAATAAGCAAATACTGGTGGTGGAGTATCGGAAGATACTTGTGGCTCCTTCTCGTGAAAGAAGAAAAGAGTAATGACTGCATTTACCTGTAACCTTTAGCACTTTCAATGAGGGATTAATGTATAATCTTGACAATTTTTTTGCTTAGCAAGATTGGTTGTGCAGGTCTCTAAATAATGTATAGAGTTGACAAAGGTAACAGGGATTTGCTGGAAAATTTAATTATTTCTTTCAGGGAACAATCAAGTTCATGACTTCCTGGAGGCTCAGTATAAAGCTCTGAGGCACACTTCTAACACGAGAGCCTCGGCTGTCCCTGTAAATATTACATGAATTTTTTGGCTTGCAAAACCAATATGTTGATTTAGATCCAGATAAGGCACTTGGCAATAGACATGCAATAGAAGTGTCTGTGCATCCAAATACCATTTCAGGGACAGTGACTGCATATTGCCAATGTTATGGATGGGTTTCATGCAAGTAGGCTTGAAAATACGGCTTTTCCTTCTCATAGCATACTTAGGATACTGTGCTAAAAATTACATTCTATAAAAAATCAAGCAACCTTCTGCAGATTATAAAGACCGAATTGAAAGACTTAGTAAAAAAAGTTCATCTGAAATACTGATATATGAATCTCTTTTTTTTTCTCTTTTCTTTTTTTTTGTAGGTTCGACCTAAACCAGTTGCCCAAAACAACATTCCTATTGCCCCAGCACCTCCTCCAATGCTTGCAGCTCCTCAGCTTATTCAGAGACCTGTGATGTTGACAACAAAGTTCACACCCACCTCTTTACCCAACTCTCAGAACTCTATACATCCAGTTCGTGTAGTTAACGGGCAGACAGCAACCATAGCCAAAACTTTCCCTATGGCACAGCTCACCAGCATCGTGATAGCAGCACCGGGTACCAGGCTTGCTGGACCTCAGACTGTACAGATCAGCAAACCAAACATTGAAAAACAGGTACAGATAAGAAAGTGTCTACTAATGAAATGTACTAGGTTTATTGCTTTACTGTAACGGTTTGGAGAGAATGACAACCCCATCTTTCAGTGGGTACTGGAGATAGTCATGTTCCAACAACAGTACAAGTTATGGAATGACTTGCAACTCTCGGGGTAGAAGTTACCATTTTCTTTAATCTGGGCCATTGGAATCTTTTTCTCATGCTTCAGTGTTTTTTATGCTCCCCCTACTGTCTTAACTTCAGTAGTTTGTAAGCAAGCTACACTGCAGGGCTGTACTAGTATCTTGGAGACCGTGTACAAACTGAAATCCATGTTCATATCAAGCCTTTAAGAAACATTGGAAAAATACCTTCTGTGTTTCTGTTTTTCAAAGGGTGGCTATGTGAAAGGCAAAAATTATGCAAAATCATGGGGGTATTTAATATGATAAATGTAGCCATTTCTTCCTTGATCTTGCAGTCTTATGATTGGAGGCAAAATAGTCTCACTCAGCTTCTGAAGACTGATAGTTCCCCGTGACTGAAATGGATTGATTGAGTGAAAAGGAGACCCTCAGAAACAGAGAATTCTAGATGTTTAAAGTCTCTCTCCGGAAAAGACTTGTATAAAATAAAACGTGACTTTAGTCAGTGTGGATTGCAACTGAGAGTCTTTGCCATGCAGTTCTAGTAAAGCAATCTTCTGTTTCACTTTTAACTCTTTCGTATACTGTATGTCAGTATGATATTTTATACTATATAACATATTATCTGTAACATATAATATTTATGTAATTTATATAAAT